CATCCCGACACATCCCGACACATCCCAGCGCATCTCGCTGCATCCTGGGCACATCCCGGTGCGTCCCGGGCGCTCCGGGATGAGGGATCTGCCGGCCGCGCTCCGCAGCCCGTCGCGCTTCCACCGCAGCGGGGATCAAAGCCGGCGCTGCCGTTTTCACAGGGATAAACCCGTCCCTGAGGACAGAGGGGAAAAGGGCGGCGCGAGCCCCACCGAGGTGCCGCTCCGGGTGCTCCGGCGCGCTCGGAAGCGGCTCGGAGCCGTTGGCATCGCGTTCCCCGGGGCGGGAAGGGCCCCGTGGCGCTGCCGGCGCCGCCGCGCTCGCTCCGGGGCTAATCCCGGCGCCCTTATCGGCTCTGGCCACCTTGCCGCGCCGCTGCTCTTATCCAGCCTCCATCCCCCAGATTAGGCGCTTCCCGGCGGATTAGCACTACGCATCCCCATGCGGAAAAACGGGCCGGGAAAGGGGAGTTTCTCCCCGCGTTATCCCGCTCCGGAGCCCCCGGCATTCCCGGCAGTTCCTGGCCCATCCCRACGCCACGGTTAAAGCCCTGAACAGCAAGGGAGGTTCTGGGGGCTCCGTGCTTCCCACCGTTCTGTGCCGCTTCCTATCGGAGCAGCCTCATCTCCCGCTCCGGGCGCTTCCATTTAAATCCCATTAATCTTTCAAAGCTTCCCTGCCCCCGAGCGCTTCCCAGCYGGTGCTTGCCAGGATCCTGGCCTCGCCGCAGCGCTGCCTTCCTCCACTCTCCTCTTCCTCCCCTGGCAGGGAATGGGATGATCTCCCATCGGATCCTCCCTGGGAAGCTCTTCCCGCTCCGGGAATGGCGAGGGGTCCCTCTGCGCCCATCCCGGGATGATTCCCGCAGCGCCGCTCCTCCGTGCGCGTTTGCTCCCACCTGGAGCAAACCACCCACCGGCCGCTTGCAATGTTTCCCGACATCCTTCGCAGCCGCTTGGACGCTTCCCGCAGCCCAGCTGGGGCCGACGGTTTTATTGGCGGGAAGGAGCACATTCCCGCGCGGTGCTTGGGAAGCGTYGGCCGCCTCCGGCCCCGTCTCCGACCCCGTCACCCCCGGGCAAAGCCGGGGCCAGAGAGCGCTCGGGAACGGGATTTGCAAGAGGAGAAGGAAGAGCGGGAGCAGAGAGGCCCCTTTTGCATCCRGAAATCCCGCTTTTCCCGACGGCACCATGGGAAGAGAGGGAAAAGCGGCTCAACGAGGGCTTCGGGCAGCGTTTCGGGGCAGCGCTCCGAGCGGCGCCCCGCGGGGCCTGGAAGCCGCTCCCGGCGGCGGATGCGGCCATTAAACGTTATTAATAATAATGAATAATTAATCCGCTAGCGACGCTCTGCGCGGCGGGAGCCCGCGCGGGACGTGCACCGAGCGCGGCCAGGCCTCAGCCCCCGGGCCGGCCCCGGGGCTCCCGCCGCATCCCGGTGCCCGGGCGGCGGGTCGGGCCGGAGCGGCGGCCGGAGCGCGGAGCCCGCGGCTCGGCCCCCGGCCGGTAACCCATTGAGGAGCCGGCGCCGCTGAAGCGAGCGATTCCACGAGTCGCGGAATGATTCGGGGAGCCGGGAAACGGCRGCGGCTCCCGGCGCCCCGGCTGCATCCCGGGTGCTTCCCGCTCGGCCGCCGGGCTGCGCCGCGCGGGAAGGAGGGAGCCCCAGCTGCACCCAGGGGTGCGGGGGCTCGGGGGGCTCAGCAGGGCGCTCCGGCAGCCGGGCTGCCGGGAGCAGGGATCCGCACGTGGGAATAAATAACAGATCCCCGGTACACCGGGCGACCCCGGAGTTTGGGGCGATTTGGGCAGCACAGGGAACACAGGGATTTGGGAGCCGGTGCGGGGAGCCGCGGGGACCCTCATCGCTCTGTTTCTCTCYTCCTCCAAGGTGCCAAAGCGGATTAGCTGGATTAGCTGGAGGAAGAGCCGCCCTGCAGGACTCCTGGGCCCCTTTCCCGGCGCGGGGGGACGGGAGCGGCGTCCGGGCTCGGGGGCGCTCAGCTCCCGCGGAGCGGCCGTGCCGCCGGCTCGTGAATGATGAAGCAGCCGGCAGGGAGCCCTGATCCGCGCCGCTAACGAGCTCGCCGGCAGCGCGGCCTCCGGGGGCGATTCCCGGGAACGGGAGCCCCTTCCCACCCCTCCTGAGCCGGATACGGGGCCAGGAACAGGAGGGGCAGGTCCAGGGGGAGGGGKGGCAGCCGGAGGGGCTGAGCAAGGGGCGCCCCCCCCATTCCCGGGCGCTGCCGCAGGAGGAAGGGGAAGTTGGGGAGAAGCCGGAACAATCCCCGGATGGGGCTTTGTCCCTGCCCGCCCTCCCCGTGCATCCCGCCCGGAGCTCGGCCGGCTCCGCCGCTCCGAGCGTTCCCTGCCCGGCCCCGCTCCGACAGCTTGCGGCCCCCACGCATCCCGCCCCAGCGCCGCGGCCGCCCCGGCTCCGGCCCCGCTCCGGAGCCCCCCGGCTCCGGCGGATGAGGATTCCCGGCGCGGCAGAGCCGGTCTCAGCGCYGGCGGGAGCCGGAGCGCGCGATGCCGGGGATGCTCCGCAGCGGTGCCCAGGGCTCTCCGCTGATGCTGGAGCCCCCCGGGGCCTTTCCTGTTCCCGGCACGTGGGGAAGCCCAGCACGGAGCTGCCAGCCCCGGKGTGCAATCCCACCAGATCCGCTTTGAGGTGGGCAAAAGCCGGAGGGGAAAAGCAAAGGAAAGCGGAAAGCTGGCGATGGGAAGGAGGGCTGGAGGAGGCGGGAGCCGCTTCCCGCCGGCTCGGCCGGAGCAGCGTGCGGAGCCGCGGGTGCAGCGCCCGGCCTCCTTCCCCCCTTCAAATCCATTAAATCAGCCCGGGCAGCAGCAACGCGGCAGCTGCTCCGGCGCGGAGCGGGAGGCGGGAAGCGGGAAGCGGGGCCGGAGGGCGCTGCGGCTGCGGGGCTGCGTGCGGGAAGCGGGAGCTGCTGGGCTCGAGCAGCACC